TACGACACATATCACCGCATCACCATCTCTCACACCTTTAACCAGCCAAAGAATGGCGGGGTACGGAAAAGCCCCCTCACAACAGGAGGAGGGGGGACTCTTTAACGCAAAAAGATCAGCCATCAAGCTAGAACGCAATTCCACAACATATGGAAGGCCTTTTGCGACACCTAACATTTTGGGAAAGCGCTCCGGGCACTTCCCCGCTTGATGGACTCCTCCGGGGGTCAAGCGGCCGACAGACAACGGCCACAAGTAATGGCGTGCGGTGCAGTGTGGTGACGGTGCGCATATCCCCCTCCATCACTTTCTCTCTTCCTCTTCTTCCCGCCTCAAAACCGATCAACACCCGCTCCCTCGAAACAGCAGCACACGCATGTATGCGTGTATGTAAATCCACGCATGGGGGGTTTGTCCGCGAAGCTATCGACAACGTCACCTGCAACGCTGGTCCCTAGAACAACATCCCTAGAACATCATCCATGCACGCCGCATTCAGGAAGAAAACATTTCCCTCTTTCGCAACCATAAAACACACACACACACAGAGCAACAGCAGCAACAGCACCCACAAAGAAGTGCGGGAACAGCAACAGCAGCAACGGCAGCGGCAGGCGAGCTGCAATGCGGAGCTGAACTCGCACACCAGCTGAATTCGCAACACCAGACATGCCGATGACAATGATGCAGTACGCGATTCAAACACGCAATAAAAAAACCCCGCGAGTGACGCCACTGTAGAGGTGACCAAACGCAACATGCTGATAACACACACACTGACGAGGGCATGTCCTGCTCAGGCAACATCCCGTCACGGCAAGCACGGCACGGATAGATCCGCCCTCCTCAACACCCTTTCAAGGACGTGACATCACATATCGTACATACATAAAATAGACACGCATTCGCTCCGAACCACTACGTTCGGTACCTCTTAGATGTCGCAGACTAGCTTTGTGTCGCTATTAAATGTACAAAAGACTGAGATGCCAAGCAAAGACAGATGCCGTACATGTCCTTATCACTCCTACAGGATTATCTACCCACGGATATCAGCCGGATTGTGGGTGCCCTGGGACACCTACCACCGCTCCGGGATATCGAGACCAGCCCCCTGTCCCCCGGACCGTGGTGCTGGGCAACCGCGTTGTGGGGTAACCCGTTGCTCCCCAATACCGGCGAGGCAGACCCAGACAGTTTGAACCGC